AGAGGGCCATTCTGTGAGAGCTGGGAAACCAAAGTTTCCTGTTGGCCTCCATTAATCATTTTGCAATTAATGAATTGCCTCTGTCCATTCAGGAAGTGCGCTGGGCAGTTGCTTTTAAGCCTCATCGTTTCTTCTGCCTAGAGCATAAATAAAACAAGGGGCGCGAGACAAAGTTTCTCAGCCTCAGCGTCCTGAAGGCGCGTGGGGTTGAAGCCTGCTCGGCCGGGGAACTCTGGGACTCAAAGTCCACCCCACAAAGTCTTCCAGGGGCTGAAGCAGAGAAACATCGGCACAAAGGATTCTCCCTTTGAGGGGCAACAGCCACGCTGCCTGGCAGAGGGAGGACTGGACTCCGTGGCTTTGGGAGGCTAAGCAAACACTTTGCCCCCACGCACCCACCTGCTCTCCGTGCCAGGCTGTTCCTTTCCAGGGAGAGCGCCGACGTCACACAAGGGATGGCAAAGAAGGTCAACTGCTAAGAGCTGGGTGGTCTCAGATATGAAAAGGGGGCCTTGCTTTGCTTGCTGAGCCCCCCCCCCAGGACCCTTCCCTCTGCCTCCCGTGCTTTGGAATCCACGCAGGGCCCTTCCTTCCACCAGGCGCAACACCGACCCCCTTTCTCAGCCTTCCCCTCCTTCCTTTTGCAATCCGAACCCAATCCAGGCCTTCTATGGGGTGGACCCCCTTCCCACTGGGCCCCCACCTCTGCATTTCACTGGCAGGCCTTCTGAGAAAAAGGGACGCCCACATGTAACCAAAGGGCGGCCCTTTGCGGAGTCACACTTGCTGTCTTGATTTTGTTGATCGCCCCACCCCCATTCCTCAGAAGCCCCCAAATGTTGGGCCTGGACCGCCGTGGCTGGCCTCAGAAGCTCAGCAGGCCCAGGCCAACCCTGACTTGGAAGAGAAACCTGAACTGGGCGTGGTCACAGAGAGAGGAGGAGGGCGCCTGGTCTCCTCAGAGGGGGAACCCCCTTCCAAGAGAGCATCCTGGGGCTACGTAAGTGAAGGATTGCAGCCTTAGAGCCCATTTATTAAATCCTCCGTTTGCAGTCTACCCGGAGGGAAGTCCCCGGGGGGGGCCTCTGCCGAGAGAAGCAGCAGATGGCTGAAGGATTAAGCAGGACACCCCCCCACGCTCCCCCCCTACAGCTGCCCCCCCCTCCCAGCAGAGCTTTTGAAACCAGACCCAATCCATTCCGGGACAGGTGTGAACCTGGGGCCTAACCCTGGCCATGGAGCTCTTCCCCTGAAGGCCTCTCCTCCAGAGCCTTCTAGGTTGGCCAATCCCTTGGAAGGACAAGGCCGGAATTAGGGAAGCATCAGTCCAGCTCTTGCGAAATTCTGGGGATGCACAAATTAGCTCTTTTCTAACCTGGAAACTCATCTGATTGCAACTTTAGGTTGTGTTTTTAAAAAGGGCTAAGAAATATGGTTCTTTTGGCCCTGCTTGGATCCCTGCAATGGACCATCTATGATAGTCATGGGAATATCCCAGCCTGGCCCTGCTTCCCAGCATTAATCCGCCTCTAGGCTAAAAAGAAGGAAATTCTTGATGTAAATATTAAAATAAATCTTTGGGAAAATGCAACCCTCTCACAAATTACTCCCACCACTTCAAAGTAAGCACCTCTGCCACCATCAACGATACGTGGACCTCCCAGGCCTCTCTGCCTATGAAAGAGACAAGATGCCTTCAGTTCTGACTGAGGGATTTTTTGATGGAAAGGAAGATAAATGGAGGCCAACTCCTGAAGTCCATCAACTTCTAAAACTCTTTCTGAACAGTCGACATTTGAACAAGGCTTCTCATCTGCCCCATCTCTCCACCCCCACCCCGCAAGAGGGTCCAGGGCCCTGAGTGGCCCCTAAAGCCGCCCTGGCTAAAAACACCACTCAGCTGAGTCAGCCTTAATAGCAGCTACATGCAAATGTATCTGCAGCAACATTTTATCTATATTTACATTTTTTAAATACCAGCTTTGTTCAAGATGCACCAGTCTTGGGAAAGTTTGTCTAAAAGTACAGTCTGAATCCCTCTCCCCATTCTTTCTTTATGTCAACGTTGGATAACAACAATCCTACAAAACCAGACTGGCCTGCACACTGCCCGGCATCAAACACTGCCTCTCCTGCCACAGTCCCCTGTGCCACTGAAAGGCCGGTGCGACCTCTACGCTGCATCGCAGTATGAATATAATGCTGGGAGGACTTGCTTGTGTGCATAAAATTATATTTGAAAAAAGTGTGTGCTGTCCTACTTTTCCTTTATGTACCCAGAAAAGAAGAGAGTGAGGGGTGGGGGTTGAGCTAGAACCAGCATGAACTCCTAGCACTGCTGGCGTCCATCCTTCAGCCGCTGTCTAAATCCCGGCCTTCCCTCTCCTCGTGGACAGCCATCAACTCTATTGACGGTGGGAGGCAGCCAGCACAGCTAATAGGAGTTAGAGGCTTGGATCCCCAGGGGGAACCAAAGCGAGACTGGAGGCCAGAGAGAGAATTTCCTGGACGAAGTTCTCTACTCGCATCCTTGAAGTCAATTTGAATCACATCCTCTGAATCCGGCTGACTCAGTCCAGATGCACCCGAGGCAGCAGGATCAGGCCGACCCCCATCGATCCAGCCGCCTCCAATTTGATCCAGCGCTTTGACTCCATTTGCCACTTCAGTTCAGGTGTTCAAAGTGAAAGCAGATCTCCCAATCAAAACACTGGAGCCCTGTGGCTGCGTTCCCTAAGCACCAGCGACTCCTCTCACGTTGCAAAAAGGGTTTGTAAAAGGGAATCAAATCCACAAGAGGCTTTCATGCAAACAACGACCCGCCTGATCGGACTTTAGCAACACCTTCAATCTAACCTTTAACTGACCCACCGGGTTTTATCAACGGTGGGAAAACTCTGGATCTCCCATGTTGGCACAGGGAGCATCCAGACCCAAAGCCAGCTCTTCCCAAGAGCAAAGGCGGCTCTCCTCTATCTCTCACATGCGCAAAGGCTTATAAAGACAAGCAAGGCAAGCCAGGAACTCCGGAGCTGCCCACAAGGAAGGAGGCAAGGAAGTTAAAGGGGCAACCCGACCACGCCGTGCGCGTGAAAGAGCCGCCCCGGCCATCCTGCCCAGCGGCCTGAAGAGGCCCTGCAAACCTCCGTCCTGACGATGCCAGAGATGCAACTCGCCTCCTCAGGCACAGAAAAGTGGCCGAGGGGGTTGCATCCTGTGGAGGCAAAATAAGGGAAGGGGCACCTCCAGGGCAAATCCCAGGGCTGCACCGGCCATGCTGAAAAGGGGAAGCAGCCGGCGGGAGACTCAGGGAGCCGGCTGGAAGGGAGGGGCTTCAACTTTCAGCAGCCCCCCCCCCCCACCCGGCAGGACAGGCACTTCCATTAAAGTCCATCAAGAATGCTGCTAAGCTGGCGTCAATGGGGGGGGGGGAACCCTAAGACTATGATTTTTGGGTCCTTCACAAAAATTGTTTTTTCTGTTCCTTACGTCACAAGAAGGCCAATTTATTCCATCGACCAAACAAGATGAAAAACTCTCCTGATTCAAACAGGCTGGAAGCTCCCTCCGTCC